AGTGCTGATTTAGAGCTGAGACAGAAAGGTGCACATCATTTCACATTCTGCTGTGGTTTGTCAATGATTGTAAGTAAATATTCCACATCTTTCCGGTTACTAAAGGCAATTTTACCAGTTAGGAAGGTTGATAATTCCTAAAAACAACCTGTTGAATCTGCACATTGCTTTGTTTGGTAGGTAAATACGGACCTGAAGCAGACTTTTTCATGACTTAGAAACATCTTGAATAATTTCATTCTGACTCAGCAAGACATAATAAGAACTGGAAAATGGTTAGTTCACCAAATTAAAAAGAGGTTTTCCAAGTCCCTACTGGAACAGGTTAGTTATATTGGCTTGGGTTCCCAGAAGACACATATTCTTTGAACAGAAAGAAACTGAGCTGAAATATTATTACTTTTCTATTTTTGGAGCTAATAAGCTGATTCCTGACTGGCTAATCTGTGACTGAAGGTTTATTCATTGAGGGAATCGGATTATCATTGCAGCAAATGGAGGAACAATGATAGAATCACTATTATGCTGCAAAAGTTACTTAATGCAACTCATCTATTTCAGAATTAAAAAATTCAGAATTTCAGGTCAACTATTGCTGATGTCATTGTATTGGGAAATGAATTAGTATCTGAAAGTGGATGTGTGTGAGAGAGATTAAAAACAACAGAAATAAAGACTGTGCAACATGAAAAGAACTGGGCAAGGCTGAAGACTCATTTTCCATATAATTCAAATCACCTCATCTCATCGTTGTATGGAGATTGATTGAGACCTCACCCAAGAGAGTGTCAAGGTTTTTCAGCCTGGATTTGCAAAGAAGCTTGAAACTTCTGAACAACTATAGGCAAAGCATCATGCTGCCTCCTGCACCCCAGTGTCCCATCCGTGGAGGAAAGCTCCTCCGCGGTGCAGCGTCCTACCATCAGGCAGGTACAGCCACATTACGAGGCTTAAAGCAAGGAGCTTCCATTACCTCGAGGAAGAACTTCTTGTGGGTGAGATAAATGCAGATACAGTGGTGATACTTCTGCAGTTTCGTTTCAAAGTCACCTCATGCAGAGTTCTCTTGAATAAGGAATATTACAATAACGCTTTAATAATATGGCACTCAAAACACACGGACCATCATACAAATATTATTTTTGAGAGCCCAGAGGTCTAACCACAGCTACAAGCTTAAAAAAGCAATCTGTACTAACAGCTGCCTGTGGTATCTCTCTGCCGATGCTGTTCTTAACTTCAGGTGGTAAAACAAGGAGGATAGAGTGACTTTTCAGGATGACCCTGAAGATCTCATAACACACAAGCCTCAGCCAACAAGTTATACTTGAGTGTTGCCGAATGTTAAGCAAACACAGATCTGAAGCAGACTTTTTGGTGATTTAGAGATATCTTTAATAATTTCATTCTGCCTCAGCAAGACATAATCAGAACTGAAAAAGTCAAAAATAAAAAAGTGATATTTTCTAAGCCCATACTGGAATATTCAAAAACTCTTACACTACCTTTATACCTCCACAACACAACCGTTTCTCCTTGGACGCGGAAGATTCAGATTTGAATGAAGATCGGTCCACTGGCAGGATTGTGTTGTTTGAGAAAAAGCAAGTGTTTTCTTTTGATTGAGCCTCCATGATGGTATCCTCTGCCTCTAAAAGCAGAAAACATGGAGAACATTTTAAAAGGGCATCCTATTAGCTCAGCCTCGAGAGCTCGTCATGTGACGACAGCAACACCCTGCTGTACTGTGTTCCCTACAACAGCAATTATCAAACTTTACAATGGAATCTGACCAGTGCACTGGATGTTTAATTATGGAAATTTGCAATCCACTTGCCTATAATAATGGAGATTAAATCATACTCAGCAAACAGCCACCATCTTCATTCTCCAGCTATCATCAATGTGATTTCACTGAACATTGGACTAAGCATAACCAGCAGACTGCACAAGGGTTGTTAACATTTTAAACATGTCTGGAGTCTACATGTAAGTTCATGTTTCTAGATGTGACCATGTTTGCAGAGGTTTCTCAGAGCTGATCTCTGAATTTCCCATATATCTGGGACATTAAGTAATTAGATCAAAGGAAATCTAGCCCCGTTAATGAGGGACTTGAATTGTTTTAGATGGAAACATTAGCTCTAATCGTCTGATGTTAGCTAATGAGTTACACAAGAATAAAGAGGTTTAGTTCTCTTTACCATTTTACATTGAGTCTTAGGGCTCAGTGGTCAATTGTTTCTGGAAAAATGTGAATTTGCTTCTTTGCAGGTAAATACAAAGAAGTAAAGAAAACCTAAATACTGCACTTTGAGAACAAAAGATATCAGTAATTCTTAAATCTCTAGCTACATACTGCAGCACTTTGTTCTTAATTTCAATCTCTAAATCAGATCTGAAAATATTTATGAAATCAGCTTCTGTGTTCACTTTTAAGCAGCACTATGATTTACAGAACTGCTGCCTGAAAATGCAAATAGAAGTTCCTACTGTTTTATGATTGTCTGAACATGTGGATCTTCTATAAGATTTTTTTTTAATATATATTTATATATACCTCTGGATATATGTGTTTTCATGGTTTCCTAAGGGCTTGTGCAGTAGGTACTTGTGTTACCAGAAATGCAAGTGAAATAACAAAATTATATCTAAATGCTGAGATTTGCTCATGCAAATATTTGCCTAGGTTCTGTTCATATATGAACAAGGTGAAGACTTTGACTGGGGCACCAACATTTTCACTGAGATCTCTCCATCACATGAAATAAGAGCTACTGACTACATATAGGAGAAGTATTTGCATTTGACACTGCCCTGACAGGGACTCTAATATATTTTCTTGTCAACACGAATGAGTATATGGATTTTTTTTTAACAACTATAACAAAATAAGAATGGTTTGGGCTTGCTGCACACATATTGCACCTACTCCTGCTCTGCTTCTGACTTTCTTGAGATCTTGGGAAAAGTCACACTGTTTCTCCCTGACCCATTTCTGAACTTGTACGATGGGTAAAGACAGTGTGTTCCTCACAGCACTTGCATGAGGATAAATTCCTTTAAATTTTGAGCATAGGCATGACAATCACAGAAGGTGTGCTGCCATGTAGGCACATCAAATAGCCTTTAGCTTAAGGTTTGAAATGGTCTGAATATCTACAGCAATCCCAGAATGAAATAAAGAAATACCTGGCAAAGGAAAACGTGCACCACAGCTAAGTGAACCGTCCTTATCTCTGAGGCAAGCAACATCCAGCTAGAGAAGGTCCATCAGAGGTGCAGGGGTCTGCACAGTCTCCTCCACTGCACCCCATATGCAGGGTTGGCCAGAAAAACAATTAAAAATGCCATGGAGGGATGGGGGTGGAACAATACACACTGATGCTTGACAGCAGCATGCATGTTTGTGCCCCACTGAGTTGACAGAAATCTCAAATGGACAGCAGAGCTTAAACAAAACATGCTCAGCAGCGTAAGTATTATTACAGTATAAAAATTATTGACATTTATTATCTGGTTCTGGATGTCAAATGGAAGACTGCAAGGAAGGACTGACAGCCATACAGATTTTGCAGGGTTTAATGTATCCCAAATTGCTCTTGCAGCACAGCTTTAAGGAGGTTGGTAGTTTTTAGGCCTGGAACTACCTGCAATCACATATCTCAGAGCATCAGGTTGTTTGCCCCGACAATGCCTCTGATGGAAACCCTTAACAGAAGGTGGAAAACCTTAGCACAAGCAGTGTACCCAGTGGTACCACAGCCAGCCACACTACTAGCTTTGATCCTTCCTCTTTTGTGCAATCAGAATACATAGGAGTGTTTCACTGTAATGACAAATTTGCCCTGTGTTGCTCAAATACTTTTCGGTGCTATCAATATTATCCTGGGAGCTGTCAGCTGCAGCTGGGAGGTCAGAGACAGCTCTGGTTTTATCCAAGCAGATACTTGGCTGGTAAGGATGGCTCTTAATGACCTGGGTATAGTGACAACCTTAGGTTTTTGCTGTATCTTGGATACCATATTTCTTCAGGAACATGAAAGATGAAGACAGAGTCTGTGTCAGCATTTCTTTTCCAGATGCAGCAGGAAAGCCAGAAAAGTGCAATCATACAATCATAGAGCTATTCAGGTTGGAAAAGATCACTAAGATCATCAAATCCAACTATTAACCTGGTACTGACAAGTCCACCACTAAACTGTGCCCCTAAGTGCCACATCCATCCATCTTTTAAATACCTCTAGGGATGGAGACTCAACGACTTCACTGGGCAGCCTGTTCCAGTGCTTGACAACCCTATCCAACAGCCTACCTAAACCTCCCCTGGCACCACTTGAACCTGTTTTCTCTTGTCCTATCACTTGCTACTCAGGGGAAGAGATTGACCCTCCCCTCCCTCAACCTCCTTTCAGGTACTTGTGGAGAGAGATGAGGTCTCCTCTGAGCCTTCTTTTCTCGACTAAACACTCCCAACTCCCTCAGCCTGTCCTTGTAAGACCTGTGGTCCAGACCCTTCACCAGCTTCATTGTCCCTTTCTGGACACACTCCAACACCTCAATGTCCTTCTTGTAGTGAGGGATACAAAACTGAATACAGGACTCGAGGTGCGGCCTCGCCAGTGCTGAGTACAGGGGGATGATCATTGCCCTGGTTCTCGTGGCCTCATTGTTTCTGATACAGGCCATGATGCTGTTGGCCTGCTCCTGCACCTTTAAGATTTCTTTCTTGAAGACTGTCCAGCATTTCTTGACCCCTTTGCCCCTTAGAACTTCCTCCCAAGGGACTGTCAACCAGTCTCCTAAACAGGCCAAATTCTGCCCTCCAAAAGTCCAGTGACAGTTCTGCTGCCTCCTTACTTCTCCAAGAATCAAAAGCTCTCTCATTTCACGATCACTGTGCCCAAGATGATAGCCCCCAAACATAACATCACCTGCCAGTCCTTCTCTGTTAACAAACAACAGCTCAAGTGGGACACCTCCTTTCAGTGGCTCCCTGACCAGCTGTGTCAGGCAGTTATCTTTCACACAGTCTAAGAACTTCCAACACTGTCTGGACCTCCTAGACTTCCCATACTCTGCTGTGTTGCATTTCTAGGAGACTCCCACCATGACATCTGCCCTGTTGGTCTTCCCACTGACTCTTACCCATAAACCACTTAGCCTTGTCACCACCATTATTAAGATCTAGTAAACAAAACACTTCCTAACAAACATACAGAATTACTTCAGTGCCTCTCCCTTCTTGTCTGTCCCTTTGGAAGAGTTTCTAGCCAACCACTGCAGCACTCCAGTTGTGCTTCAACACCTGAGTCAGTCGAGGTGGGTGACACTCTGCCTGAAGGACAGCTGCTGGCCATGCTCACACCTTAGCCCTGACTGTCACTGTCACAACTCTGACCCCTCCTCGCATCCCTGGCTCCAGCTGGCTGGGGTGTGGGAGCCCTGTCTGGTGGCTCTGCTTTCTCTCCCACTGAAAGCACAGCCCATAACTCACCTGTGGCACGGCTGGGGCAGCAGCAGTGCTCACCCTCCCAAGGGCTGGCATGGAGAGCTGTGCCTGGTGGTCAGGTCCGAGGACAGACCTGTCCCTGAGCATGCATGCAGCAGGCTGAGACACCTCGAGGCAGCTCCTGAAGTGCCCCTTCACTCATTCAAACTCCAGGCAATGAAAAAACGTCCTTCCCCCTCACTGGAAACTCCTCCACGTTGCAGTAAGCCTCCCTAGACATGCCTTTACTGTGTGCCAGCCTGCAGGCACAGGAGCTGCACTTGCTAGAATGGGTGGACACAGAAGACTGGTAGAGAGACAGTTCACCCATGAACCCAGCTAAAGGACATCCACTTTGAAAGGTAAATCAACAAAGAGAAGAAG